CCAGCTGGAACCATCCAATGGAAGACCAAGGTGGCAAATGGCCGAGGGCAGAGATTCAGAGGCAAAGTGCTGTATCTAGGGCATCCAGACGCAAGAACCAGGAGACCCAGCACAGTCCCAGGCATCCCCAGACTTCCAGCAGCCTCCCCAGGCGAGCCCTGCCTCCCAGGAGGTTAAGAGACCAGGCTGGGCAGCCAGGGCAGCCGGGGCCTGTGGTCTGCAGCCAGCCATCCTCTACGGGCTGGGCGAGAAGCTCCAGATAGAAAGAGCCCGCAGACGGGTAAGGCTAGGGCTCAGCGGCGGAGCGCTCAGCTGGCACATGTGAGGCACCGGGTTCCACCCTCTGCACCACACAAGAACACACACATAAGAATAAGAGTACTGGGGCTGGGGGTGTGGCTCCAGCGGTAGCACGCTCGCCTGGCATGCGTGTGGCCCGGGTTCGATCCTCAGCACCACATACAAAAAGAAGATGTTGTGTCCACCAAATACTAAAAAATAAAATGTTGAAATTCTCTCTCCATCTCTCTCTAAACAAAAAATTTAAAAAAAAATAAGAGTACTGTGTCCACTTACAGCTAAAACCCACTTCCAAAGAAAGAAGGATGGAGCCGGCAGGGCACGAGTCAGCAGCACCTACGCACACAGGAGGGGTCTCGTGAGCCGGTCTCCCCTGCCTCCTGGAGCCCTGCACAGCACGCCTGCGCCAGCATCACCGTGCCCCCCTCACCTGCTCCTCTCACCCCCTCTGGCCTCTCGGCTGCATGCTGATCAGGAGCCACTGTGCAAGCAACCGACGATGCTCCCTGCAGAGCCCAGGGCCACGGGCAACCCATGCTGTCCACCCCACGCAGCCTGGCCAGCGAACCCCTGGAGCACAGGAACCACCTTGTAACCCCCTGCCCCTCCCTCCCGTGAATCACATGCCCCGGTGACATTCTAAAGGGAAAGACCTGGGCTTTGGATAGCCCGCTCTGGCTCTGGGCCACCTCAACCCTTACAGGCCCCAAGGCTTTGGACACCTCCTGGCACCTTGGTTTCTTCTTCTCAGGTGGGGGTACCCCCTCCTGCCAGCACAGCTGTGGGACAGGGCATAAGGCCTGCGAAGCACTCAGCAGCCTGTCACAGAGGTGCCCAGGAAGCAAGTGGCAGCTAGCCACAGGCTCAATGACAGGTCCAGCCTGCTTCCTGCCCCTCTATCTGCCCAATGCAGGCAGCTGTGTGGCAGGCAGGTACCTGGAGGCCATCCTACCATCCAGTGACAGTCCCAGTGATGCCCACGCTGGGGAGGGCGCCAAGTATAGAGCAACAGGGCTCCCCGGTGGGTGGTCAGTCCCACAAGCAGGCTGCTGATGACAAGGGGCGGCGGCTGGACCAGAACTCAGCCCTGGCAGCTGACAGCTGAGCCGCACAGTGAGACCTGCCAAAGTCGGGGCCTCGGCCATGGGGGACAAGAACAGCCAGGGGCCCTTCAGACAAGGCAGCCAAGACACGGCCAAAGGCCCGGAACCCAGGAGGGCTGCAGCCAGCCTCCGGCTCCAGTGGGAACCCTCGGGGGCAGGCGCCCTCCGGGGAGGCTGTGCCCACTCATTCGAGCTCAGTGACTACACCCCGCCCCGCCCCAGGGAGAACTCTCGGCCCAGCAGAGCTCTCGACACTGGCTTGAGCTGCTGCCCCACCGTCCCCCCCCAGGCCACCCCGAGAGAACTGCTGCTCCAGGTAGAAAAGGGTGACGCGGGGGACCTGGAGCACCTTCTGTGGCCTTCTCGCACCACCCAGCACCCACCTGGGCTGACGTGGTGACCCCGGGTCTGCAGCAGCCCCCACAAGGCAAACACCCCCTGCTCCAGCAGCTCAGAGCATCAGTCACTCTCCCTTGTCGAGGGCCATCGCAGTGCCCACCTGCAGGTCCAAGGAAGGGCCGCAGGAAGGAACCTGGGTGCTCAGGTGGCCTTTCCATCCCGGCGTGGCAGGGCGGGGCCTGCTTGGTGACGGGCTGTCTCCACCCGCTCCAGGCCAGAACAGCCCAGACCTGACAGCCACCAGCGCCCTCAGGACTGTCTGGTGTCCTTTGGTGCAGCATCACGAAGGTGGGGAAGGCCTGGGAAGGAGAAGATGCGAGCGCGGTCCAGCCACACCTGGAGGACTACTCAGCCACCGCAGGAGCAAGATTCTGCAGCGTGGACGGGCCTCGAGGGCATGATGCTCAGGGAGGACCAGACGACAAGGTGGCGCTGTGTGACTGTCTTGGTAAGCGAGTCCAGAGACAGGAAAAGGATCTGTGGGTGCTGGGGGCCAGGGAGGGATGGGGCGACTGCTCGTGGGACAGGCTTCCCTTGGGGTGATGGTCCTAGAAGTGGACAGTGGTGACAGCCACACAGCTTGGCAAACATATAAAACCCAAACCATGCGTGTCTACTGCGAGTGGCGTGAGAACTGTGTGCACACCGCTGTCATCAGCAAAAAACTAAAAAAATAAACAAAATTTTAAAAGGGAAGTGAAGGGAACCGAAGGAGAGCCAGGTCAGGGAACAGACACGGCTCGCTCCAGAGACCACCCTGAGGGGGTGCGGCCAGCGAGCATGACTACCTGACGGCCGGATGGGGCACTGCAGGGGAGGCCACCTGGGTCTCCTTCCCCAGGTGAAGAGACCAGGTCATTAGGGCAGGAATGCCCATGTGGGGGGCCTCTGGCTCTGGGCTTGCCCCGGCCCTCACCACAGCACACCCTGTCCAGGTCCCCAGGGCAGGTTCTGCAGGGCAAAAGGGAGGTGTGCGCAGGATAGTCAGGGGTCGCTCTGGCAAGCAGGAGGTCAGTAGGAACCCCAGGGAGTTGCTGGGGACAGAAAAGGAGGGAGGCCACATGAGCCCTATGAGCCCTCCACTCACCCCAGTATGTGCTTGGGCACTGCGCCTGCTCAGGACACAGCCCCACTGGGGACGGAGTGGAGACCAGACAGTCACGCCACAGGCTCCATCTGGACTCCCTGTGGGGCCTCCCCCAGCACTGTGGGCACAGTGCTGGGTCATTCTTGGGGGTGCAGTGTTCTGGGCACTGCAGGGTGCTAAGCAGAGTCCCTGGCTCCCACCCACTTCATCCCAGGACCCCTTGTCCAGTTCAGACAAGCACAGGTAACTCCCCGAACTGGCTCAACTCTAACAGAAGGCAGATGAGGGCGCTGTGGGCCTCAGTTCCCAAAATCCAAGTCCCTTTCCCAGGAGCCCCAGAATCAGCCCACCAAGCAGAGTGGCTTTGGATATTCATCCCTCTAAATAACCCAGAGGGAAAGGCCAACGAACCCCTCTAGGCCCCCAAACCTGGATGTGTCCCATACACAAAGCCCAACCCACCAAGAGCCCCAGTGACTGGTAAACAGCGTGACATTTCCTGCTGAAATAGAGACAGTGGTTTGAGCAGCTACACAGAACCCCCTTGGAAGCCCTCCCAGGCTTCTCCACTGCCTCTGGGTACTCCTGTCCCTACCCCCAAACAATCACTACCCCCTCGCCCACACGGGTCCCCAGGTTTCACTGAGGAACAGTCACAGGAGCGACCAGCACACACTGCTGAGAAACTGCCACCAGCCAAGAGTCACCCTGGGAGCAGGAGTGAAGACCACAGCTCAGTTCTCTGGGGGAGCCTGTGCCTTACAAAACCCTGGCAGCCCAGCTGCTCCCCCCGTGGCACCCGGCACACCTGCAACAACCCAGCACTACCAAAGCGACACGGGCCCAGTGGCTCCTAAGAAATTCTGCATGATTAACAGCCTTGGATACCTTCTGGAAGCACCCTGCTCCTCTAGCGTAGCCCTCAGGGGCCATCAGCCATGAGCCTCCAGTGGGGGTGCATCAAGCCCCCACCCACAAGACATACCTCCCGACCTCCCTCACTTCAAAGTCTGTCCTCCAGGACCCAGGCCCAGGGGGCAGTGTGTGTTCTGCCTGGATGAGTTTCCATTAGGCAAATCGCCCTCATTCAAAGTTGGGTGAGAAGGTGGGGGGTGCAGCCTCCCCAGCCAGAGGGTGAGGTCATCAGTGGACTAGGGTGGGGGGATCTGCTTCCCAGCCAGAGAAGTGCCCTGATTCAGGGCATGAGTTTTGGGTGCAGAAATCAGGGAAAAACCAAACAGGTTTAGGCATCTGAAGTGGGTGGGTCTCAGGCTTTCGGTCAGGGACAGGTCTTGAAGGGGGTGGTCCATGGGCTTTAGCTGGGGAAAGGGCTGGGAGTGGGGGGCATGCAGGAGGTCCGAGGTGGCCAGGCAGGATGCAGGTTCAGATGGGGGACTGGGCAGAGATAGGCTGCCTCTGGTTGGGGTAGGGTCACTGCTGAAATGGGAAATGGGAAAGTCAGGTGCTGAGGGGTCACTGACGTTGGCCGCGGGGCTCGGAGGGTGGGGGATGAGAAATCCGAAGGGACGGGTGGGATGGGGACATGAAAGCATTCAAACTTTGTCCCCTGGGTAATTTTGTGTCCCTTGGAGACCAGGGTCCCAGCACCCCAGAGCCGGGTCGTTTCCGGGTCTCCTGCTGTTTTTCATTGCGGGAGGGCGTCGCGGCAGGCTCCGCCGCGGGGTGGGCGGTTTAAAAGGGAAGCGACAGGGCTGGGAGGGTCGGCGGGTGACAGGCCGGAGAGCGCGACCGGCCAGGAGGGCGTGGGGCTGCCGGGGGAGAGGCCGGGCAGGACGGGACCCGCGGCTCCGGGGCGGCGCTCGGCCTGACACTTGCGGCGCTGCCCGCGGGGACAGCGAGGTCCGTCCTGCAGGTGCCGCCGGGGGCCGCCCAGGGCTGAGCGGCGGGCGCTCGGCTCGGGGCTGGGACCGCGGTGGGATGCTGAGGTCACCGGCCCGGCGCACCTGGGGGGCGACTAGGGCGCCGAGCTCCTGCAGGGGCCCGAGCTGCGCAGGGGTGGCGGCCCGGGGGTCCGCCGCGTTTGGGGGTCGCGGCCGACCCCACCGCCGCCTGGAGCCCGGGGGGCGGGTCCCCCCACCCGGCCGCCTCACCTGGCTCGCTCCCTTCGCCCGCTGGCTCCCGCCGGCCCCGCCTCTCCCGGCGCCGTGCCGCACCCGCCTCCGGCCCCCGCAGCTCCGCCAGGCCCGGCCGCGGCCGCCGCTGACGGGTTCCCGGGCTCCGCGGTGCCTAATATGGCGGCGCTCGCTGCTCCGCGGCCTCCCGGCTCCCTCCCTCCGCCGCGCGCGCCCGCCCTGCCGCGCGCGCCCCCGCGCGGCCGCCCCGCCCCCACGCCGGCGCGCTGCGTGCTGCCGCCCCGCCCTCAACCTGCCACGCCACGCCCACCCCGCGAGGCTGCGCCTGCGCGCGTGGAGCATCTCGGGAGGACGTGACGTCCCTCGCTATTCGAATCAATACAGGAAGCGAGGCGCCACGCGTTGCCAAGGGCAACCGCGGCCGGAGGAGGCGGGCGGAGAGCTGAGTCTGCGCGGAGAAGGGGAAAAAGGTCTCTGCTTAGTGGAGGGCGTGGCTCCTATTACGGGACGGTTGCAGAATTGGACCCCCAGTGGTGGACCCACAAATGGTAGACCGCAGAGGCAGGCTTACACCTTCGTGAGGCGGTCACGCCGCGTAATAAGGCAGAGGGGACCCACCACCAAGAAACTCACTGCCGAGACCGTCATTCAACAAGCGCTTTGCTCCCACGAAGTGTCCTCCCAGCCCTCATCCAACAGCAGGAGCAACCCGATGGAGAGCCCTGGCCGTCGAAACAACAAGAGCATTTTAAAAATCCCTGCACAAAAAAATGGGCAAAGGTTGGACCTGGGGTGTGGGTCAGTGTGGAGCCCTTTCCTAGCATTCTCCAGACCCTAGGTTCCATCCCCAGCACCGCATAAAATAGCCGGGTTGGGGAGCAAGGATCTGAATAGACAGTTCTCCAAAGAGGTCATGCAAATGAACAACACGTGCATGTAAAGATGCTCAGCACCTTCAGTCATCAGGAAATGCAAATCAAAGCCGCGCTGAGATAGTAGTTCCTGCCCACTAGGCTGGCTTGGACTCAAAACAAAACAAATCTGAACAGACGAAAAAGGAAAGCTAATGAATGTTGGCAAAGATGTGGAGAAATAGGAACCCTCCTACGCTGCTGGTGAGGTGGCAAAATGGTGCAGGCCGATGGGAAAAACAGTTTTGGGCAGTTCCTCAAAAGTTAAACAGAAATACCACATGACACAGCAATGATGCTCCTAGGTATGTACTCCAGAGAGATAAACACACATCCACTCCAGCTGGTATGTGGCCACACCCATATTCTGGAGGCTGAGGCAGGAGGATCCCAAGTTCAAGACCAGCCTGGGCAATTTAGCAAGACCCTGTCTCAAAATTTAAAATGGGCGAAGCCCTGGGTTCAATTCCAAGCACTTCATAAAACAAACTTCTATACAAATATTCATGGTGGCCTTTTTCATGGTAGTCAAAATGTGTAAACAACCCAGATGTCCTTCAGCTGGTGAAAGGATAATGACCCATTCAGACATGGCAAATTGAGGAGTCCTTTTACTGCTCCTGAAAGTTGGCTCAGTGTGTGTGCATGGGTGTGGAATCTCCTGGGAGGTGGGAGTCCCTCTACCATTCCCCAAGACTCCCTGCATTTGGGCAGAATCCTGCAAGGAGAGTAGACACCACGGTACCCGATTTCTACTTTTTTCCTTGTGGTGTGAAATGATGTGTATTATACAAATGCACATCTGTCTGATTCCCATGAGCTCCACAGCCATCATAGGATCTGGCGAAGTCACTCAGCATATGGAACATGATCCATCTGGGAACTTAAATTTCCTAGTAGCCACATGTAAAACAAAAATTCTGGCAGAATTCATTTTAATTAAGTACTGTTTTATTAAAAATACTTTTGTTTCAACATGTAATCAAACTCAACTATTATTAATGGGGTATTCTATGTAATTTTTGTCAAATCCAGTCTTAGGATCCAGTGCGTATTACATCCCCCTCTTGGTGCTAATTTGCATCAGAAATCCTTGATCTCTTTTTACATTTTACAGTGGGAAAAAACAGGTTTGCATTGCCAGGTATTTCAAACAGGCTTAGAAGTTTTCCGAGCACTGAATCAAAGTATCAGCTTTATTTCCTCTACATTTAAATTGCTTAAATTTTTATTTTTTTATTGCTATTTTTTGTGGTGCTGTGGATTGAACCCAGGGCTTTGCGCAGGCAAGGCAAGTACTCTCCCATCTGAGCTATATCCCCAGCCCCTAAATTGCTTAAATTTTGAAAACTACAAATTCAGTTCCAGAGTGGCACCAACTAGTTAGGGGCCACCACTGCTGGCTGGTGAAGATGTAGACTATATCCTCCATGAGTTCTGGGAGGTCCGGGACAGTGCCGGGCACAGACAGGATCCCAGCACATGGGCCAGGGGCCAGAGCATAACTTAGTGTGCAGCCTGCACTCAGTGAGTACAAGTGTCACTGGAGAAGAGGTGGCCCAGGAGAAGGGTGAAGTTCCTGGAGAGAGCAGAGAATTGACTCAGGCTCAGTGGGGCCCTTGGCTCATGTGACAGAAAAGAATTCCAGCGCTTGCCAGCCCTGGGCATGGAGAGAGGCTTGTGTAGGAAGCAGATGCGCCCTCCAGGTTGGATGTGGCCATCTCCAGAGGGAGAGGTCCCCAGAGGTCCCGAGGGCTCCTCTTCAAAGCAATCTTAGGGAGGGGTGGGCACGGGAAGCTGTGTGGGTGACATGGGTCTGGTCACTCGGAGATCCTGAGGCTGATACGGTCTGTTATCTGATCTGTAGATAGGAATGGAAGGTCTCCTAAGCTATAGATTTCTTAAAACGTCCTCTCTTTGCTGCTTCTATGTTCTGGGGTGGATGAGCTCTGCATAGGCAGAGTCACGGATTTCCCAGGAATCCGGGAGTGACAGGCGGCCCTTCTGACCCACAGCCTGGCTCCCTGTCGCTCCTTCTGGGTCCTGTCTACCTGGTTTTTTCTTCTAATTTCTTCTGTCCTACTTCAAAAGGACTTCGGTTCCATCCCTAGCACACAAAAGAAAGAAAAAATGTGGCACCGAGCAGCTTGTTAGTGACCATCTTCCCCCTAACCAGCCCTGATTGCTCTTTCCTCAGACCAAGTACCAGGCTCAAGAGAGATGCTTCTGGTCAGCGAGGGCTCCCTGCCCCACCAAGGCATCAGCTAAGGTGCAACCTGGAGAACTCCCCGAACCACCCAGGCGCACTATACCTTTTTGAAAAAATTGGCCATGAGCGGACAGGCCACAAGCTGAGGAACCCCACGGACTGCCAGTTACCAGGAAAGACAGGAAGGACCCTCCCCAGAGCCAGGAGAGAGGCTGGCCCCGCTGACACCTCCATCAGGGACTTCTGGCTGCCAGGACCCTGCAGAAGTAGCCGTGGTGCAACAGACACCCTCTAAAATTCAGGGCAACTTCCTGATAACTGGTTTTTCTGTAGCCTCCGGAGCAGCCCCTTCGGAAGTGGAAGCTCCAGATTTCTTTAACTTCTAAACTGCCTCTTACTGGGAATGGAGGCCTCCTCGCACAGAGGGGACTCCCCAGAAGCCAGGACGCCACGCTGCTGGCCTGGCTAACTGAACCTGCCGGCATTTCCAGCTCTTCTGCTGCTGTCCTCTTAGAAAAAGTTCCCTGTTCCTGGAGTTTTCTGAAGATGGGGATTTGAGGCAAAAATGTCTCCTCTACCTTCCTTCAAAGCTGGCTTTGAATAAGACAATTTTCCTGCTAGTTCAACGGCCTTCCTTTGTGGCAGGAGGCCTAGCCTCTCGCCCCCACACTGGGGCGAAGGCAGAGGGGGGAACACAGGTGCCTGGGCTCCTCTTTGGTATCAGTTACACACAGGTGTGTCTGCAGGGCCCAGACACCAAGTTCTCAGACTTACACAAGCCTTGTTTTGGGTGTGGCTTCTGATATTGGTTTCCTGTACCCCTGGGCCTATCTCCTCCCGCAGAGCCTCCTGGGGCCCTCACACCTGGCACTCTGCCCTGTGGGCACAGCCTCTGGCCTTCTAGAAGACTCAGTAAACCTCAGCCTGAGCCACAGTGGGACTGGGGGGCGGG